TGATAATCCAAATCCGTCGAATCAGGATTATTCAGAACACTATATATAACTACCAAAAACCTAACCTAACTCTAAAATTAATCGAAAAATTATTAAATCAGTTGCCTCCGCTTTAGACGTCCCCCGAATTAAGAAATATTAAAAAAAATAGTGATATAACAAATTTTAAACCTAAGCACTGAAGATCACTTCCGATCTCAAAATTGTACATCGGAACCAATAGAATTGCAGGATTTGTATAACAAACCATATGTAAACAAAAAAACAACACAAAATTTTATTACAGCTGTTTTGAAAATGATCATTGTAATAAATGTACTGTAGCTCGATAATAAAATTTTTGGCAGGTACAATATAACGCGAAACATAACGCGATACATACTATAAATGTAAAAAAATTGATTTGTATTTATACCCCGAAATTTTGATATTTTTTTTTTAAATTTTGAGTGACGATATTTTGACAACTACCAAACCAATTTTAATAAACATTTTTCATTTGAATTCTACAGATTCGTAGAATTTAAATAAAAAAAAGTTATTGAATTTGGCTTGGTGGTTGTCGAGATATTATTTCTCTAAGTTTTAAAAAAATTCAAAATAAGGGCTGCGCCAAAATTTTTTAAGTCTTTAAACGATGATATTTCGACATCTACTATATCACATTCGATGTTTTTTTTATTTTGAATTCTATAGATTTGTAGAATTTTAATAAAAAAAAGTTTATCAAAATTGATTTGATGGTTATCGAGATATCATTACTCAAAGTTTAAAAAAAATTTTGACGCAACAAAATTGACTACGATTAAAAAATTAGGCCGGAATTACTCATAATTTTACTAATGAAACCATAACCACCCATTAAATGTAAATTGTTCCTGGGACTATTTTATATAATGCGGGTTTATTTTTTAAGAATTTCTATTTTTGTAATGAGAAAATTAAAAAGTTAATTCCGGTCTGAAATTAGTAAGCAATTTTGTAATGTGGGCCTTAATTTTAAGATCCTCGGCCGTTAGCCAATCAAAATCGAGGATCTGCCGGCCCAATTTTGTTGCGGTAGCTATGGTTAATTATTTTGATAGATGTTTTGAATCCTTTAAAATTTTGAGCAATAATATTCGATGATCTTTTTTTTTATTTGCATTTTATGATCCTGTAGAATTCAAATAAAAAAAAAGTTCATTAAATTGACTTTGTGGTTGTCGAGATATCGTTACTCAAAGTTTTAAAAATTCAAAACGTCTATCATATAAAGGCTGCATCATAATTTTTCGGAATTTGTGCGATGATATCTTGACAACCACTGAGCCAAATTCGATGAACTTTTTTTATTTGAATTCTACAGATTCGTAGAATTCAAAAAAAAAAAAAAGTTTATCAAAATTAATTTGGTGGTTTATATTTTTGCTCAAAGTTTAAAAAAAATTTGGCACAGCTTTTTCGTCAATCGTCATGGGTTTCGTCAATCGTCATGGGTTTCGTCAATCGTCAGGGGCTTCGTCAATCGTCATGGGTTTTGTCGATCGTCAGGGTTTCGTCAATCGTCAGGGGTTTCGTCAGACGAAACCATGACGAAACCTTTCGTCATTGCAAAAATAGTTTCCCAACACTGCTCGGACCCACTCAAAAAAAAGCAACAAGTGAAGAGTAACTTGGAGACTGCTTGGTGATTTACTCCCTGACACTTGTACATAAAGTAGTATTATATTGTAAAAATAAAGGAAGTTTTTCTTTCTATCACGGTATGACACGCATGTAATCGGACCTTCATTTGCGCCACGTGACTCATGTCATATAGCTTGTTTAAATGTATAAAGATAATTAGAAATTAATTGTAACACGTGAAGTAGAGCTGCTGCTTGGCATTGCTTCCCATAATGTAAATTGAAATAAAACTACTCAGAGCAAGAATAATAAGTTAACGAGGATTTTGAATTTAGATCATGAAAATCATTCGATTACTACATGCAATCAGAATTATGGTTTTTATCGAACACAAAACTCAAAATTAAACCCTGCACTTCGTTCCACTACGTCCCGGTATTAAATTTTATTACTGATGTGCTAAAAACAGCTGCAACTGATCGACAGTTACTTTATTAGTTAGAACGACCAAAAATTTAGCAGTTTCGGGTTTTGGATAAGGTTTAGGAGTTTCAAATGAAGTTTCGGAAACTATAACCCAAAACTTTCAGATTTGGCAAAAAAGATTTCCGTGCCCAGCTCTAGTTAGCAGTCTATCACTCCATATATGTTATATGAGTGACGGGAAATCTGTAAATCATTTCACTCATTATCTTCGCACCCCTGAGGAGCCTCAAGGGTAGAATTCACTACTATCATAATGAGTAAAATAATTTACGGGATCTCTCTTCCCATCACACATATATAAGCATTTTGATTGGCTGCTAACTAGGCCACCTAAAAGGAGGGAGTTGGCCTTCTAATAAAAGAAAATACGTAACAAACAGAATTTCCCTTAGAGAATAGTATGGAAACTAACACTGAAATTTTATGCTAAAATTAAATTAAATTAACATGTATTCTTATTTTTTTATTTATTTTTTTTTTAGGCCACGCAAGTTAATTTTTTATTTTGCATAACCCACCAACCTAATTTTTCAAAAAAACTTTTTTAAGTTCCAATTGCTATTTAATTTTTTCTGTAAATTTATCCAGTATCCCCGATACTGAACTTAATTTTCCGGAATAACCCAAATTTTCTGATTCCATTTTATACAAAACAAAAACATTAACTTGTGTGGCCTTAATTATGAACATGAATCTATTATTAATTTATAATAAAAAAAGATTTTATTTAAACTCTGATCTGCTAACTGGAATTTTGGAACACCAGGTTATGCAAAATGAAATTAATTTTGTGTGGCCTTACATATATTTTTTTTATCTTATTAATTCTAATTAAATAATAAACCTCGGTCTAATATTTGATTTAAATTCAACGTACATTCGCTTTCCTATTTCACTATTAAAATTATGCACAGTAATAGGGGGGTTTCAGAATTAACTTTTTTTCAAAATATGTGAGAGTTTAAAAGGTCCTATCTTCTTTTTTAAAATTCCGAATCAGAAAATTAAATAGCATAGTCGGTGATAAAATTAGCTTTTTTAAATAAACATTCATCGGTAAACGATTATGTAAGTAAGTACATGTTGCTTATTTTGAAATAAATACGTTACTTATTTTATCTGAAATCGGACGCCGAATCATTAATTCTGAAACCCCCTAATAAATGATAATTCATAACAGCGGATTTTTGCCATTTATGCTTAAAGAGAAAAAAATGTTTGTCTTCCTAAAACTTGTTATTAATATATATATACTATATATATCAGATATGTATGACTTATGAATTAAATTTAGATCGATTTACAGCGCTTTTCAAATTACTGTGATCAGTGATTTTCATACATCACACCGGAAATTAGAAATCTAGAATAGATGCAAATCTGTGATTGGCTAAAAATATTTTTTATCCAATTATGTATTGGAATTTTTTCCAGATTTCTGATTCCCGTGTATGAAAATCACTGATCACAGTAATTTGAAAAGCGCTGTAAATTAAATGCATTAGCTCCACTAATTAATCAGTGCAGGACTTCTTAAATCAGCAAATAAAATACATAACTTTTAAAAGTTTATAAATTAAAAATTAAAATAGTTATAAACCAAATCTTTTCATAGAATAGTAAAATCGAACTTAAAGAACAAATCTACGAAGTTTATTTTATAAATCAATTATTGTTTAATAAAGTTATTTTCTTTTAAAATTAATCAATTTTATTAATTAAATTAAAAATTTGGCCGCCTTAATTTTGGCAAAAAACTACTAATACTTTTTTAATCATATGGGATTTGACTCATTGATGTGATAATTCGAAAAATGATCTACATGCATATTTTGATTTATAAACGACCAATTATTTATTACAGGTCATTAAGGTGATGTTTGTTGTGATTAACTTCCGGGGTCGTCTAAAGCGGAATATAATTAAGGATAGGAATCATAAAGTCATTAGTCGACTAATCGACTAATCAACCAATCGACTAATTAATTAATCGACTAGTCAACTAATCGACTAGTCGACTAATCAACTAGTCGACTAATCGACTAGTTGACTAATCAAATAGTTGACAAATCGACTAATAAGGTAACCGAATAATTAACTAATAATAATTATTATACGTAATTAATCAAAGGTTAATAGATAAATTTAATTAGTTAACTATTGTTCATATGATATCCAAATAACAGATTAGTTGATTATTCAGATTAGTCGACTAGTCAATTAGTCGAATAGTCGACTAATCGATTAATCAATTAGTCGATTAATCTATTATTCGACTAGTCAATTTTTCGATTAGTTGATTTAGTCAGTCGATGACTAATGAATTTAGTCGACTGACTAATCGACTAAAAATTTCTGACCGATTCCTATCCTTAGTAGAATCACGTGATACACAACCAACCAAATTATAAAATTTTGACGATCAAACCAATAAGTAAACGCGAAAACTTGAAAAATACAAATAATAACAGTCTAAACCTACCTTGGGTAGGTTAAGTAAAAATAACGGGTGGGTAATTTTGCATATATATCTATTTAAACCTGTTCTAACCTTAATCTAAGATAACACTAACTCTAAAGATAATTTTAATAATAAGGAAATTAATCAGAGCAACGTTCAATAAAAATCTTTGATTTCATATTTAATTACTGAATTATCGCAGGGATTTACTTATTACTAATAATTTTTTAATAATGGTAAAAATTACTAAAAAATTTTCATATAAAAACTTATTTATTATAAAAAAACGAACTAGTCTCTCACTTTTCACTTATATATATATTATCTTAATATTATAATCATATTAGTTTGTTTTATGTAGCATGTCTCAAAATTTGGCCGCAATATTTATGACTTGATTTAAGGAGTCCTGCACTAATTGATTAAATTCTCTTAGAATGTTCCTTTAAAGTTCTTTAAATGCTCTTATATGTAAATTATATATTGTCGCTGTCACTAAATTCATACTAGGATTTTGCCGAATTCGTAATCGATAAATATTAGGACGAAAAAACGATCGAAATATTAACTTATAAATAGGATCGAAATTTTTAGAGAAACATCTGAATAAAATTTATATATAACATAGGACATAGCATAATATACGAATTTTTTGTACCAAATATTATTGGTAATTATTATATCTTACAATGCAACCTTCATGGCAATAATGACCTGCGATATTTTGATAAGGACAAGGCTGTGAATTAGCGGAGTTGAGGATGGATAGAATAGAAGGTAGTTCTTGCTTATTGTATATTTTGCTTAAATAACTCATTTCTTCCAAAGATAAGCCGAGAAATTGTTCAGCATCATAAAGTTTATTAACCGAATTTGTGTTGGGCATAGTAGATTTTTCATAATTTGAATGATTTATGATTCTCATATCGATATGTTTACTAGGACTGTCTGACTTTGGTCCACGTTTTCTTGCTTGCATATGGTAAGTGCATTCACAACTACGTTTTGTGCATTCATCACATCGAGCATACTGATCTGTTGGTATAATAGGAAGGCATCGAATTTTTTTACGTTTACAAGAATCGCATGCTTTAGTTACATTGCGTCTGTTTCTCGGGGGACTGCTTAATTTTTTTGATGACATAACGGGTTCTTAATAATCGTAACAAAAACGAAAAGGCGCTATTACTTTAAAGAATGTATTATAAGAATTTCGACGGATATGTGATTTGAGAATTGCTAGCTTCGCGTTTGTGAGATTTGCTAGCTTCGCAAGGTTCGTCTAAAAAATTTTGAGTTTATTTATATACATCTCTACCATCAATAAAGTATGTCGATCGAATCTTCGGATGAATATTCGTACGTACGTACGAAAATCTGATATTCAATTATACATTATACAATGTACAGTCCATCATCTTGTTACACGAATAATGATAGGAATGAGTAAGGAATGAGGTGATTTTATTTTACGTCATTTAAATCGTTCTATTGGGAAAAATAAATGCTTAAGTCACTTGATTCAGGTCTCTGAATTAAGAAACAATAAACACAATATTGAATCAACATTAATAACATTTATTATAGAACGCACCTATGGTGGCTTTGCACCTATTACGTTTTTATATATTTCTAAGTTTCTATAAGTTTCGGATATAAAATTTTTGCTCAAATTATCATGTTGGCGTTAGTATTTATAATCAATATTAAGGTTTGGGATAGGTTTTGGGACGTAAGGCATTTTACCTAGAACGCCACATACTAGTTAATTAGTCAGTTTTTTATATAATGTAACATAGGTGGTAAAACGTTATAGGTACGTTTTAGTAAAAGTGAATATATTAATAATAATATCTTACCTAATATATCTATTGATAAAACTTATTGCAGAGTGCATTATATTTTGATCATCTAATTTTTCTTAGTAATCAATTCAAAAACTAACTGGCGTTAGCGTATTCCTATACAAGTAAGTAATATAAAACAATTTAGATAAAGTTTTAGCCCAAATATACATAC